CGGCAAAGTTTCACTGACTGGCCCGAAGAAATCCTTGACACTTGATCTTGAATCACTGAGTTATAAGGAGTCAGTAGCCGCTCGTTAATCTCTATTCTGTGTTATTTTAAATTGCACAAGCAGTATAATAAAGTTACTAAAGGACTCTGACCCGGGACGGACGACCACAGTGGAGTCGCACGGCGATGAGGGGGATGGCGCAGGTCCGGGCAGGGTTTGTTCTGTTGCGTGTCAGGTCACTATGGGTCAGAGCCGACCCGATGGTACCTGGCAACCACAGACAACAGCATCCTGCCGTTGGCGCCTGTCACGGCTTACCCTCCCCCAGGTGCATGCAGCTGTCACACACTCCCTGCTGTCGAGTGGAGTCCGATTTGTGGTGAGCCTACAGGACAGGGTACAGCTGACCCGTGGGCTTCCCAGATGTAGCTCTTTACGGGAGTACCAGAACCTCGTCTTCCTCCGGCCGAGCGGCGGTGGTGTCCGGCCGCTGACCTTGCAGCGAGCCGCCCAACCAACGTGTCAGCCCTGTGCTCAGGGCTCAGCGCACATAAGCAGACGCATTCTTTTTCAATTGGCTAAGCATGAGACCTGCCAAACACAAGGTCAGGGGGTTAAACCCCTAGCCCACTGGAAGGGAGAAAGACGAGGCTGTCTGCTCCTGTGAAGGTCTGCAGCCTCAGAATCCCCGATCAGTGTCCCCGTGACTCGGCTTCGACTCTGTGGCAGTGGGTTTCGGTGTGGACCGTGTGCGGCAGACATACAGTTAGAATCTGACTTTCCACGTTTACTTAGGTCCTAAAGACTCCGTGCTGTCTCAGGGCTACGAGCTGTCCAGGGACCTGACACAGCTGATGCTCACAGACTGGCGCTCTGTTTTGGCTTCCTGTGCCCAACGGCCTCTTCCCGTTTTGTTTTCTGTAGGAAGTCCTCCAGCAGCTGATCGTCATGAATCTACCCAATGTCTTGATGATTGGCAAAGACCCGCTGTCTGGTGAGTGAGACCCTCTCCTTGGCAGCCTTCTGCGCCCCGCCGTGTCTGAGCAAGGCTGGCAGCTTGGGGGCAACTCTTGGCCACCAAGCCCTGGTCGCTGCTTTGGAACCTGTGCAGTGCTCAGGCTGGGCATTTGAAAGGGTGGACTTACTGCTCAGGGGCATTACGTGGTTCCAGAACGAGTCCTTCTGGCCGTCCCAGGGGAGTGCCCCCCACCCCCTCCGCTGACAACCCAGTCAGACCCGAGTCTGGGTCCACTCTCTCCGTGAGGGAGGATTCAGCGATGCCCGACGCCTGTGGATAACCAAGGGGCAACCGATGCTTGTCCCCTGAAATCCTGCTTGTGTCGGGGTGCAGGGACATGGCCCACCCGAGGGACAGCAGGTCTCCATCTAGTCTCATGCACTTGGCTCTCGGGCCCTGGGGACATGTGCAGCGGGAGCCCGGGTGGCACAGGGGGCAAGCGCCCCGCTGTGTGGGAGAGAGGCGTGGCAGTCTACCTTCACAAGGTTTGCAGCCTGAGAAACGCCCCGAGGCTGTCCTCTCTGTCCTGTGGGCTCGCTTAGGGCCCAGCAGGTTTGGTTTTCCCAGTTCGAGTTGGTGTCAGAGGGCAGTGTCCGGGGCAGCAGAGAACCTCGCACGTGGAGGACCGGGCTAGAATGGATCTCGGACCGCAAGGGGCTTACAAGGGGCCTCTCTGTGACTCCATGGGGCCCTCTTTCCCCTCATCTCCCCGGGGTCTAGCCGCTCTTACGCCTGCCCACGTGGCAGTGTCTGAAGTCCCGAAGACTGGAGAGAAAGTTCCCTGAGTGCCCATCCAGGACGTTCCTTGTGGAAGGGCCCCCTCCCACCCCCGGTGCTTTAGCCCCGCCTGGCTGTGGCCGAGTGTTAGGTCTTTGTACCTTGGGGTCCCCACGGGATCCCCGAGGCTCTCCCAGTCCTTAGCAGGCTTGGCCCGCACCCCCGCACAGCCAGCCAGCCCCGCCGCCTCTCCTGTCCACTCATGCTGGGGTCCTTTCTCCCGGCTTCGTGTCCAGTGTCTCCTGCAGGAAAAGCAAGAGGGGGCCCGCTCATCCCACCCCAGCCAGCGAGATGGGTGGGCTTCCGCTGGATCCGGGGGTGGTCTCACGGAGAGACCGTAGTGCCTTGAGGTTGGTGGTTCGGGCATGGTTCAGCCCATTTCAGGGTCATCAGTGTCAAATGATCGGGGACAGGTGAGCAGTGTGACTGCTGGGGTCCTGGCGGGCCCACCAGGTGCTGGGTGTGCTGCGCGATTTGGGAGATAGAAATGAAGCACCCATGCTCGCGGTGTGACTGAGGCCAGCCCAGCTGTGGATGGCGAGACGGGGGCACCCAGAGACCCAGTGAGTGACAGGCCCTTTGTCCCTTAGGCTGCGAGTACTGAGTACTGAGTACTGGACTGACCGGAGACCAGCCTGCCCGAGCCCCGCCCCAACCACAGGGACAGCTCAGCTCCCTCCAGGCCGACTCCTGGGTCACTGCCAATGTCAGGCCCACAAAGGGGATCCTGGTGACACAGTGGGTTAGGCATTGGGCCGCTAGCCCCAAGGTGGGCTTTTCAAACCCGCCAGCTGCTCCTCGGGAGAAAGAGGAGCTAGCCAGCTTTCACCAGGAGTCCCAGTCTCGGAAGCCTTCAGGAGCGGATCTAGCCATTGTCCCAGAGGGTCACGCTGAGTTGGATTTGACTCGGTGTCAGTGGGTTTGAGTTTTTATGGTTCAGTCTGATGTCACACCATCCTTTCAGGCACTGCCTTGTACTGGGCAGCTTCTCGTTGCCCCATCCCCTCTTCCCAGCCTCCTCATTGCTTCCCAAAGTACTCTCCACTCCCCAGAATCCTGGCTCCAGGCTTTCCCCCAAGCCAGGCCCCCAGCCCTCCACTCCCCAGAATCCTGACTCCAGACTGCCTCCCACCCTCCGGGCAGCCTCTCTCCGAGCCTGTCTCCTGGGGGCTGGCCCTGAAGAGAGGCCCACGTGCTCCCGTGGACTCTGGTGTTCATAGCCACTCTGGAGGTGTAAGTTATGCAGCATAAATAAAGCACACCAGGTGTAGCCTCCCGCTCAGTGGTTTCCACACACGCACAGAGGGGTGCAGCCAGCCTCATACTCCGTTCTAGAACATTCTGGGGAAGTTGACTTTAAACTCAGAGGTGACCGACCTTCCCGGGACCCAGCACAGTGTACACAAGCAACAGATCGCCCCCTTGCTGCCCCAAATGGTTATGGTGCTAAAGATGGCGATGGCAGAACATTTATTTACTAAGGCAGCATGTTTCCCCGGTGCCACTCAAGGGCACTGGGGCTGCGCTCAGCATGCTGTTCACGCCTGATGCCTGTCTCAGTGCTTTGGAGCCCAAGGAGTGGAGTAGCACCCCCCGTGGCCCCCCAGATGTCCTAGGTGCCCTAGCTGGCGGGGTTGACATGTCAGACCTGGGCCAGGGGTGGGGGTGCCCCGACCTCCAACAGGGGTGGGTTCTGACAGGGCCCCCAGCCTTAGCACGACCACCCAGAAGACCCAACCAGGAGACCAGAGGCCCGAGGCATGTGTGTGGGTCCGTGGTTTCGGCTTTGAATTGTGCAAATAGACGTGTGGAGCAGCCGTGTTCCTCTTGAGATGAAGCAGGGTGGCTTCTGTCTGACAGACGTGGCTGTCTGGGGGAGTTGCCCTTGTTTCCTTTTGTTTTGTTTACTCTGGGTTCAAAATCTGTCATCGCACACTGGTGCCGGCCACATCTGCCTCTGAGGGGCGCTGACACCAACACTGCTGTTATTTATAGCCGTCTACAGTTGGGGCTCGTTTTCTGGCAGGTGCGCCACATCGGTGCTGGCTGCTGGGGTCGGGACTGATACCCATCCCGTACCCCCTCCCCAGCACGCACGCGCGCACACACACACACACCCATCCCGTACCCCCCCAGCACACACACACACACACACACACACACACACACAGAAGTCCTCCAGCAGCTGATCGTCATGAATCTAC